AGAAGAAGAAGAAGAAGAAGAAGAAGAAGAAGAAGAAGAAGAAGAAGGAAAGAAGAAAGAAAGAATGAAAGAAAGAAAGAAAAGAAAAGAAAAGAAAAGAAAAGAAAAGAAAAGAAAAGAAAAGAAAAGAAAAGAAAAGAGAAAAGAAAAGAAAAGAAAACTTAGGGAATATCCTTATGTCCAATATAAAAATGGCTTCCAGAATCGTCAAATATTCTTGTTTTTGGAAAGCTCACAGATAAGAGCTCCTGCTATCCACAGAGTTTCATTCCACACCCTCCTGTTCTTGACAGCATCATGTAAATGTCATGAGCCTAACACCCAAAGACACGAGTCAAAGGAAACGGTGAGAGGGGAAGAAACCACCTCCAAAATGGATGGTTTCCAGGGCTAATGCCAAGAGAGGGGGTCCCAAAGATAATAGACCCTGATGTGAAATTAAAGTGCTGCTGGTATATGGAGCAGGGCCCTGAGGCCTGTTCTCTTGTTAAACTGCCGTCACATGGACAATGGCTCATGTTCCCAGCCATTGAGCTTCCTTGGAAAGACCTAGATGAAACCATCTAATGGTATAAGACTGAGCCAGTGAGGCCCAATCACCTCTCCCCTACTGTTGCTAAACTCATATTATAGCCTCTTAAGGGGACTTTTGGTGATAAATAAAAATCCAACATCTTACACATTCCAGGGATTTATTTCCCTGAGCTGGATTTTCTTGCCTTCCCAACAAATGGATAGGCTCGCAGTGTAAGCGCTCTGAATCAGAGGGGCAGCACCAGGGTTAGATGTAGGCAGAAGCCTCCTGTCCCCGGTGTGAGGAGGAACTCAAGTGGCTGAGGTCTCTTCATCTTCAAAGCCTCCATCCCAAGCCCTGAAGCTCAGAGATCCGGACCACCTTGGATGCAGCTCTGTGATCTCACTCTTGTGAGAGTTTTGACAGCGATGGCCCACAGGACGTCCAGTGATCATGAGCCATGGGGTTATTGGAGTTCAGCAGGCTCCTGTTTGAGTCTGAGCTCTGAGATCTAATTATCACCTTAGGTAGGCCATCGAATCTTCTGAGCTTATTTTCTCAAATGTACAGAGAGGATGATATAGCCTGCCTCCTGAGAGTAAGGCCAGGATTAAATAAGATAAAGCACGAAGGCGTTTAGCCCTAAGGTACTAATGCTTATAAATGGAAATGCATCATAACCTTGAATTTATCGTTCCCACTGTTCTGGGGAAGCAGAGGTTGGACACCTGCATGATGAAGAGCCAGCGAGTCTGTGTGCCGGGTGCCTCCTGCGGTGAGTGTATAAATTGTGGAGACTGACCTCAAGCCAGTACGCTGAGTGATGTACGACTCAGCTATTGGTGCTCAGTCTGGAGCGCTGGAAAAACAAGTCCTGCGGTCCTAGCGGACACAGTAGGTCAGAGATGACTGAGGCCAGTGTTGTTTTAAGCTTCTCACGTGATTCAGATATATACTCAGCACCCAGGTCCACCGCCCAACAGAGGAGGAAAGTATCTTCTGGAAGGATCGTCAGCACTTGCTGGCCTACTTGATAAGGCAGCCAGAGGTGTGGATGCTGAGCTATGTTCCTCTCCCAGGGCCTAACCAGGAAGATCCACATGTGGGCATTACTGTTGTCATGCATTACAGATGTGTGCCGTGATGGAGCACATCTGTGGACGACCCCCTCCCGCAGGACTGGGGGCACCTGTTCCAACCCTCTCAAAAGAGCCTGTCCGTGGATGTCCTAGGGTGCGGTAAAAAGATTTTACAAACCCTTGATGAAAATACTACATTGTACATTCTAGAAACCCCAATAATTCAATGGCAATGAGCAGGACCATTTAAAAATGAAGTGGGGAGGCAAGGGCCAGTTTCTCTGAAGGTGTTGAACTCAGTGGTTGGCTCTTGATCTCCCCACCCCCGAGGGAGGAGCAGCCTTGCTAGGCCACAGATTAGGACATTGCAGCCAGTCCTCAAGAAACCTGATAAGCTAGGGTCAGATGGAAGGGGAAGAGGTCCTCCCCCATCAGTGGACTTGGAAAGGGGCAGGGAGGAGATGAGGGAGGGAGGGTGAAAGGGGAGGGAAAGAAGGAGTGGGCTACAGCTGGGATACAAAGTGAATGACCTGTGATTAATATTAAATAAATAAGAGTGGAATGATCGAATCATTCTGAGTATTGGGTAAAAACAACAGAAAGAGTCAAGATTGGACGTGGAAAAGGCAGTTCAAAGTTGGCTGCAGCAATCTAAGGAGGCTCCCCATGGACAGACTTAGAAGGCATTAGAAAAGCTTGGTGGCTAGTGTTTGGGGAAGGATGGGAGCCAAGAATTTGGCCTAGCAATTAGGAGGATTACCCAGGAAATCCAGTGATGCTACTGAGCAAGGGCAGGAAGGAAGTTCAGAGTGTGCACAAGTGGGACAAGGGACCTTGGGAGGAAATGGAACTCCTGCCTCATCTGCTAAAATAGAGCGGGAACTTGTGCTGTTCAGCCTGGTAGAAACCCCACACATATCATGTTTTCCTGACTCATGTGTATGCTGTTCTATTAATAACCGAAATAAATCTTCTTACAGGTTTCTCTCTGACGGGAAAAGGGGAGTCTTGATGAAATGAATGGGGCGCAGCCTGGGGGAGACCTGAAATAGGAGCCAGCAGGGCTGGGCACACGTTGCTCATCTTGTTTCTTTCTCAGTCCAAGAACACGGCTAGGTCCTCTGCTGAAGAACGAAGAGGAGCATCGGATACAGTGCTTGGAAAGTGGGAGGCCAGCTCTACGGGCACTTGGCGTCCCCCTCTGCAGAGCATGCAGTCAAGTGGACATGCCCCAGCATGTTCTGCAGTCACACACCAACAAGCCTGTAAGCAGCTCCCTTTATTTGAGTAAATAGCTTGTAAATAAATCATTGGTAAACATTACAAAATTAAATACATTTCCAAAAGCTTGCCAGTATACGGAAAATTCACAAACATAGTTCTTTTAAAAAATAAAATATGTTCAAAGCACCCTTGATATAAATTGCCCCATCCCTGTCTTCAGACAAGGCCACTTGGAGAATTCTTACAGCAGGCAGGGTTTCCAGGCAGAGACAGAAGGGGCTTGCTGGAAGGAAGGGTTTCTACTCATCTTTCACCTTGCCTACATCCCATATGAATTTTAAATCTTCTCCAAAGGGTTGGTAATTGAGGGGCTAGGGTAGGCACTCAGACCTAGCTCCTAACGTGGAAATCAAGGTCACAGTTAGGACCATGAACCACCGAGAGAAACCAGAGGTGAAGCCATACTTCTAAACCAACAAATGCCTCGAGGGGCCTTCCCATCTCCCCATTTTCTCAATACTCAGTCCACAACTCTGGACTGATGGTACCCAGGCACAGAAGGGGCCACGTTCTACCTCTAAGAAAGAAGATGCATCTGTTGGTTTCCTCTTGACCCGCTTTCATCAACAGAGATAATAATACACAGTATTGCATTGAAAGCAGAGAGCCTGTGGCCACACAGGGCTTCCTTTCTCCATTGCAAAACTCTGTTCAGGAACTGTGGGCATTTCCTTAGAAATCAGGTTGGTTTTCAAAACTAAGAATTCATAAAACTTTAAAAGACCACAATGAGGCAATAAGTACATGACCTGGCAAAGCATCTCAACCAACGAAACAATAAAAGTCTGTAAATGAAGCCCTTGACCAACTCAACATGTGTGCTGTATGGCTTGTTACAATAATGGACACATCAAATTTTTTCACTTTGGTGCAGAAAGTGGATGCTGATGGTGGACCACACTTGTATGAAGAATGCCCGGAGGCATCTTAAAACACACATGCTATGACCTCATCCAACAGGACAAGCATAGGCTTATTCCATCACCATGAAATAGAACTCACGTCCCTGTTATAAACTTAGTGTTTGTAGATATATACAAGTATGAGACATTTTTTTGACATCTAAGTCAAAAGTTTAACTTAAAAAACGTCTTACCAAACTGACTGTAAGAAAACTATCTTCCCTGTGTCATAAGATCCTAAGTTACTGCCGAGTCCTTACAGAAAACACTGCCTGGCTTCATCCATCCTTTCAGATGCAACTGCCTTGATAGTTCTTGGTTGGGCTGCAGTCCGAGTTGTGATAGCTTTGCCGTTAAAATGTTACAGTAATGAAAACAACAAAAGAAGGAACACTTTTGAATAAATGTCTAACCCCCCCACTCACACATACACACCAAAAGATGTTGTTTGTAAAAGACAACTATGGTTATTTAATAAAAGTATCCAGAAGTCCAAATCCCAGGTCGCTTTCTTCGTCTCCGAGAGATTTCTACCCTGTTGCAAAAATCATACGCTCTTCTTCTGCGGAGGGCTCAGCTTCCTCATGCCTCTTATTCGGGACAGCAGCTCTCTGATAAATTCCTAGGAGACATCAAGGAAGTTAATATAAGAGGCCACACAAGTAAAACTGGCGCTTCAGAATGTGCTTAGAGTCACTGATGCCAGCTGCATCGAACCAATCTGGCTGTACATGTTGAACTCCAATGATAAAATAACAAAGGAAGTGTTAGAAAAAAAGGCAAAGGGCTTAAATTTCACAGCACAAACGCCTTCTCCATGCTCCAGGGAGAAAGCCAGGTCATAGGTCACTGTCATCAACAGACATCATCCATGTGGGTCTCCAGGCACGAGTGACTTCTGTACTCAGCCTTACCATGTGTATGCACAACACCTGAGCATCTTCTAGATCCCAAGTGTGTAAGACCAGGCTAGGGTCTAAGATTCTGTCATTTCCAACTAGGTCACAGATATCCCTAGACCGCAAAGCTAGACCAAAGCCGAGTATCAGACCTACCACGGGGATTTAGTCACAGGCTGCTGTCAGTGCATGAATATGGAAAGCGACAAGGTGCCCTTCTGGCAAGCTCCGAAGGGAGACAGATGCTGCTGAGAACCAGTGCTCTCCGGCTGCTTAAAGCGTAGGTAGTGACCTCGAGTGGGTAAAGCCGTGCAGATGAAGGTGGCAGTCAGGAAAGAGTCATCAACACTGTTTTCCCGTACACAACCCCCAAGATTAATGCAGGGTCATTTGGATAATAAATCCTAGGCATTCCTGGTGACACTTGGCCATGTGTGTCACATGACTTCACTGCAGCTATGTTTCAGAACATACAACATATATACCTTGTGCTGTGCATGCTGGCCATACAAGCAAGACCAGGAAAGGCCACCTGAAGCCCCGCAGGTCAGGCCGATCACTACTGCATTGTTTTCACTGGCATCAGAGAAACGGAATGGTTGACTTATGGAAAGAAAAGACTTTCAATAATTTCTACTGTCCATCACAGAAGTATCAAATGAGTACATCCTTGTGCTGTATGGTGTTGGAAGCTTTCATTTTTTTAAGAGAACTTGTTTGATTTGCTCACTTGAGTTTTGTACACACAATTATTCAGTGAATTTTGGCTTAGGGTTGGGACAACAATTTTTGAAATGGCTCTAAACATAATTCTGCCATTTTGTACTAAGTAATTTTGTGACGTGTCTGCGTTTGGAGTATAGTCAAGTCAATGGTTCTCAACCTGTTGGTCGAGACCCCTTTGGGGATAGAACAACCCTTTCTCTGGAGTTACCTAAGACCACTGAAAAACACAGATGTTTACATTATGATTCATAACAGCAGCAAAATTACAGTTATGAAGCAGAAACAAAAATAATTTTATAGTTGAGAGTCACCATAACATAAGGAACTGTATTAAAGGGTCACAGCATAAGAAGGTTCAGAACCACTGGGTCATACCAGCAAATTCTGGGAAAGAAGTTCTGAAATGCTCTCACCCTGAAATTTCAAATATTTTACCATATTTACCTCTTTATGTAAAAATAAACAAGTACATTGTTAACATAAAAAATGTCCTTATTTTAATAAATGATAAAACTATGTGAACAACAAAGTTTTCTCTTAAAATAAAATTTTTTATAATTTGTAAATGTGTTTCTAACTTACTGCCAGTGAGTGTTTTGTCTATATTCCTACTTTAAATACTTATATACTAGAGTTGTATAAAATTTTCTAAGGCAAATACATTGTGTGTGTGTTTGAAATTATCAGAGAATAAATATAAATATTATACTAATTAAAGAGAAATTCTTGTGTGAAAAGATCTTGCTAGGAGAGAAGGTTTTAGAAGCCCTTCTTTAGGACATACCAAGAATCAGTGGGGATTTTTTTTCTATAAGTCATACAAACAAACAAACAAAACGAAAACCACATTTGACATTACACTGCAGTACTCACACACACCTGCATTTAAACTCACAGAATAAATTCCCGCTATGTACATTCTTCTGTTTTCTATTCTAATCTAAATTTATTTAAAAATAAATGCTGGAGAGACTCACAAAAGGGGTTCCTTGATCTTTCCGCATTGCATCCGGGACTGATTTATGCAGAGTTGGGATGAACCCAGGCCTTCATGCATGGCGGGCAAGCACTCCAGAACCTGAGCTACAGCTCAGCCCTAGTGATCTGCTGAGGGATCAGACACCGAAGACTGAGCACTCATCTGTAATTACCGCCTTGTACCACCAAGAAGCTGTCATTCATCTCATAGTTTGAAATGTTTAGCTGGCATCAACATAATAGTTACCTCCTTTTCCCATTTTGTATTTGTACAGACAGAGCTGCGAGCCGCCTGTACTTTGTGGCCAGTGAGGAAGGATAGAATTAAGTGTCATAGCATGGCCAACCGAGAACAGATACAGACCAACTGATCTTAAGGAGGTATCATGGTTTAACTGTGTGGAAACCCACCTCTCTGCCTATGTCCTCCTGCTAACTGTAGCCATAAACGACCAGGCTCAGTGAGCCCTGAACTGTTCTCTGGCCTTCAACCACAGTGAGCTTTAATATATGATGCTTTGCCCACTACCACCACAATTAGATTTTTAATAGTCTTTGTTAGCTTAAACCAGCAAGTGCTTTTGCTTAAATATTTGGAAAACACAAGCCAGCACTGGTATCCTCCTTAGGGTCCTCCACACCTAAAGGCTTTGCTGCTGTGAACATTGTTCTTAGCTATTCAGATCACTGTGTCACCTTGCCACCGTGTGACATCATGTCATGCTTTGCCCTGCCACGTGAACATCTTCCTAAAAGCACACGGCTGCACCGTCCTTTGGGTGCAGGCAGCAGCACTGCCAAACTCCCCGGAACTAGCGTCTCGGATGCTCCCAAGTTTAAACCGCGGCACAACTGAAACCTGCACACTTCAGACATTGTTCTCAGTCCAGGTAAGCGTTCTGGAGACTGCACTGCTGCCACGGTCTGGCCTGAGAACTCCCACGTCTTCATCCCCACCCTCCCCGACAGTGGACGGCAGAGGGGTAAGACGGAAGCCCTGTTTTAATTTTCAGTTTACCTGTGTCATTTAAAGAATTTTCATGGTGAAATAACATCATTGTTCCCCATTTGTATTTAACTTTCATTTTGAAAACCTCAGCTTCTCACCGTCCACTCAAGTCTGTGGTTGAAGCAGCCTACAGCATTCGGCACATTCAATTTTTGTTTCATTGTTTTGAAAAATGTTATTTGTGCAAACAATTGTTATGTATATGAATGTTATGTAAAAGAGTGGCAGGAATCAAGTATTCTACTATAACTTTCCTATTTTGATAAAAACCCAAGATCAGAATCAGAAACTCTGTCATTTATTTCATGAATAACTCTGGTAATTTTCTACTGTGTTAATAAGAGTTTCACAAAGATAAAAAGCACATGAGGAACAGCATACCCTAGAGTAAAGGCCTTTCCCCTCAAGACAACAGTGACTTGATCATTTAAGTAGAATTCAAATTCTATGGAACTGATCACAATGTAGGTGGATCACAGAGATTAAAATGCTTCAGCAATAAATTTGTGCTTATAATTAATTTGTGTGTGTGTGTGTGTGTGTGTGTGTGTGTGTGTGTGTGTTAGACCATGGCAAACATACATAGGTCAGAGGACAGCCTTGGGGGTTTGGTTCTTTCCTTCCACCAAATGGTCCCAGAAATCTAACTCATCTAACTCAGGCTTGACAGTGGGAGCCTTTATCCCCTGAGCCATCAGGCTGACTCCTCATTTTAATTTTATAGAAACCAAGCCTTTTGTCTCCACTTCAAGATACTATCTTGTATGTGATGACTAATCTTGGTGGTCAATCACTTTGGCTACAACTGGAATCGACTAAAAGCCAAATGGCTAGGAATACCTTCAAGGGTTTTTCTTAATCAGAATATATGAGGTGGGATCACTGCCCTAAATCTGAGCTACACTTTCCAATGCAGTCCACATAAAAGACTGTGGGAGAAGGAAACTTTGCTTTCTGCTTGCCGGCCTTCACTCTCACTGGCAAGTTCATCTCCCCTGTTGCTGCAGCCATTATTAAATCCAACTTCTTTAGGCTTCCAGCATCAACTGAAGACCATTAGTGCCCAGGAACTCTCTGGGACTCCAGCACTAGGTTGGGGCTGTGAGACCCTCAGCCCTGTTGACTGAACAGCTGCGGAATTCTCTGGCCATCCCATTGTGACAGCCACCTTTGCACTAACCGACTGTCCTGTAGGTCAGTCTAATAATACCCCTTTTTAAAATGGGTCCCATCCGTCTGTTCTTTTAGAGAATCCTAACTAATAAAATATGCATAAATGCCTGTTTAACTTATTCATTAAATTAGCACATTTGGCTACTCAGTTGAGTATGGAAAAGCAGCAAGACTAATGTGTATCCCCATACGAAAACATGCCCATGGCACTTGCCCAGAAGAATCCAATTTTTTTTCTAAGTGATTTCCCAGGAAGACTCAAGGATTTCTAATCAAGAACACTTTGATGGCTCCAGGTCTGCTTCTAGAGGGTACTTTGGGCCAGTGACAATATATGCCATTTATTTCCAAACTCAGCCTTGGGCTGAGAACACAGATTTTGTCAGAGGAGTTCTGTCCCTTTGAGGAAGTGACCTCTAACGTGAACCCTGAATTAACAGGACAGTTTAGAGGAGGCTTGCAGAGGCTTGCTCACAGTACAAGCACAGAGACCTTCAGGTGAGCAAGGCAGGAGATGGGTGTCCCTGGCTCAGAATGCCAGAGTGAAGAAGTAGGGAATGCCGGAGGTTGCTGGCCAGGCCGACAGTCCTAGTTGACCACCTAGCAGAGGTCTGTCTTTGAGGTGGAAAGCCACGGGAAGCCTTGAAGCATAGAACAGTATGATTAAATTTAGGTTTCTAAAAGAGCCTTTTGGAAGCTGTATAATGAATGGCTTTTGAGGACGTGAATGGAAGGGAGGCATATCAGTTTGGATCTATGGCAGTGAGCCAGGCAATCAACGCTTCTGTGAACACTGATGGAAACAAGCATACATGCTTTGCATCCATTTCAGAGGCA